TCATTTTCAATGTCCAGCTTTGATCTGTCTTTCGTCTTGATCGAGGCAGCTGCAGAGAAACCTCTCCCACACAGGTAAGAAGTGTGGTCAGGGCTCTCCTGCCCGGCAGTGGGTAGTCCTTTTCCACTCCAATCCAAAATGCAGCTCATGTCTTTGTTGAATCAGAGGTGACATCAGTGAACCGTTCCTCTCTGAACTGATCACGGATCCAGTCATGTTCAGTCGGATCCTGCACTGGGAAACACCTCAGAAGCAGTTTTTGTAGGGTAGAGATGTAGCTTATCATGCACGGGATGTTAAATGATAAATGATTTCAGGCTCTCAAATACGTCTATGTTCTTCTCTTTCACTCGCTTCTCCCACACCTCCAGTTTTCTTGTGAAGGATGTGGTTTTACCTGCCAGCTGTAGGCGGTGTGTTTTAGTGCCCTGCATCTGGAGATGGAGCTCATTGAAACATGTCGCTGAGGTAAGCAAGCTTCATGAGGAAGTCGTTTCTGCTAAACTTGTGGGCAAGTTCATTACCTTCCTCCTCCAAGAAGATTCTGATTTCAATTCAAGCACCCTGGAAAAATCCTTCCCACGTGACAACCATCAGGACTCACTGTGAAACAAAACAGCTGTATGATCCCATGTCCTCGCAGAGAGCTGCAAGAATCCGGGCTTTGACAGGTCTTATTTTGATGCACTTCACTGTGATGTCTGTTATGATGTCGTTCAGCTCGGGGCTCAGCTGTTGAGACGCCAGCGCCTCTCCATGTATCATACAGTGTGTTCACGGCACATCGGGGGAGACGCGCAGACCTCCTCGTCTCTGAGCCCCATCAGTGCCGACCCCCACTCAGTCCTCCCATCACAGATCAGCTCCTTCAAGTGAGTGCCATTGATTTTGAACAATTCCTCTGCAGGGGCTCCGGTGGTTACAGAAAAACAAATCCTCCTTCAAATTGTCGGCATCAATGAATCTGACGAATGTGATCAATAAACAGTCTTTGTTTCTGTCAGTCGCTTCATCCACCTGCAGGGCAAAACAGCTGTCTCTTATCATCAAGCTGCTCCTCTGTGTCTTTTGAAATGTCATAAATGCGTCTCCCTGACAGAGGAATAGCCTTTAGTTTGCTTGCTGCTGCTTCATCAATCATGGCTGATGTCAATAGCAGAAGGAAGTAATAGTTCCTCTGCAAAAGTGTGCAGCTTTTTACATCGAACAGCTCTGTAGGCTGCCGTATACGATGCGTTTACAGGTGCTGCTTCAGTGAAACGACTCGATTTCTGATGAAATCAACTGGCTTTTCTCTGTTGTGCAGTCTCTAAGTGGCTTCATACTGTCAGAAGCTAGTGTTGTGAGACACACAACCCACTGTGGCCTCTCTCCATTACCCACAGTTGTACTTGTGAAGCCGAGGGCGAGATATCCATTCATCCATTATCTCTACACCTTAATCCTCACTGGGGTCGCGGGGGGCTGGAGTCTATCTCAGCTGACTCAGGGTGAAGGCAGGTTCACCTGGACAGGTAACCAGTCTATCACCACCGAGCAAGAGTGTTTTGGAGCAGCAAGACCCAGACCAAAGAAAGTTACATGATCCTGATCGACGCCGTATTCAATCCCAGTTGCTCAGCCATTGTTCTGTCATCAGTTCGTAACCACTTTGCATAAGTTCCTTGACCTTCTGGGTGCTGGCATCAGCTCCTGGTTTTGCCTCATCCCATCCCATTCTGAACCTCTTGTACCACTCACAGACATTGTTTGGTCCCTGCACACATCCTCGAGCATGGCAAAGGTTTCTGCTGGAGTTAGCCAAGATCTCAATGTCGGTCCTTTGCTCAAGGTTCATTCTGTCAGAGACTGTAGCCAAAAACCCGCGTGTGAAAAGAAAAAAGTCAGTTCAAGTTTTTCTTCTACAGCGTTGAGATGTTGGGCAGCACGATGACGTACTTCATTACTGTGTGGCTTCTGAACGGTGTGATCAGCAACCAAAGTCTTGTGTGAAAATCTAATGATGTTTTGGGTTCTATTTATGCAGAACATTCTGAAGGGATCACGAGGTTTAAAGCATTCTGTTTCTGAAAATGCAAAACAAAGGACATGAGCTCAGCGCTCTTACTCACATGACGGTTTGGACACATGCTTAACAACAATCAGTGCAGCACATGAGCCACACAACAGGATGCATAGTATCTGCAGCACCACGTGGCCCACCAACACCTCCAGTAGTGGTTTCACACAAAGCAGCAACACACTGACGGATCACAGCATGACAAAAATACCTCTGTGAGCAAGTACAGACGTCAGACACGGAATCTCCTGCAGCAACATTTTTGTCACAACTTTACATTCTTCTTTTTTCTTTTTTCATACAATATTAATACATGAATGAAGAAACCTACACCACAAAAAAGCCACATGGCTGCAGTTCCTGACGTGGTATAGGTTCCAAAATAGCAGACAGAAGGCGTCTCTTGGCTTCTCACAGCTCAGATTAAAATACTGCAGCAGGAGGCGACTTCTCACCAAACCACACTGGCTTCCTCTCATCTGCTTTCCCTGATTGCTGCTGCATTATATTCAATACAGAGAAAATAATGCCACATCAGGTTTGTGGAGTGAGCTGATAGTTTTTGTTGTGCGTAATTGTTTTTGCTCACAAAAAGTTGCATCTGCAGCTTCCGTCAGAGCTCCGTCTATCCCGCCTGAGCTCGGTTTTGACGCACAACGTCTCCATCTCCGTCTGGAACCCACGATCCCACGATCTCCGTCAACCACTGGAACAGGCTGAGCAGCGCCTTGCGCATCTCCACGTTCCTCAGACCGTACACCAGCGGGTTGATGCACGGCGGCACGATGAGCATCATGAGCAGGGACATGTGGAGCAGCGCCGCCGTGGCCGTGGGCGCGGGCTCCACCATGCACATGTCTCCGGCCTGAGAGGAGCGCTCCATCATCGCCGAGGAGCCGCGGACCTCCCACAGCGCGTCCGAGATGACTTTGAGCAGCAGCGGCAGCAGCTGCAGCAGCAACATGCCGCAGTAGAACAGCACCGTTTTACGCGCCGTGTTGTTGACCGTGTTGAAGGGAATCACTGCGTTACGCGCGTCCTGGTACATCCTGTAGTAGGAGAAGAGGTAAATCAGCAGGCACAGCAGCAGCGTCAGCGAGCCCACCACTTTGCGAAAGATGGCAGAGGCTCGGGGGAAGCCCATGTGCTGCTCCATTATGTCCGGCTCGCACAGCAGCCCCATGGTGACCGGCCCGCTGTCCTGCGGTTCGGCCGTGTGCAGCAGCGCCAAGTTGACGACGCCGATGGTGATGGAGTAAACCCAGATGAGGGTCAGGACTCTCCGCAGGCGAATCTGAGTCAGAATGACCAAGTAGTGGATGGCGTGGCACACGTACATGTACCGCTCCAGCGCCATGCAGGTGATGGTGAGGAGGCTGGTGAAGATGCTGGCGCTCCCCACAAAGTACTGAACGTAGCACCAGGTGCTGAACGCCATCGTGCGTCGCTGGACCAGAGAGTGGATGACCGGCGGGCCGAAGGTGGCGGTCTGGATGAGGTCGCTCAGAATCAGGCTCTTCAGGAAGGTGAAGCGCGGCTGCCAGGAGAGCTCCTCGGACCGAGCGAGAGCCAACAAGGTGAGAACATTGACCAGGCACGAGAAAAGAGTGAGCAAAACAAAAACGCAGATGAGCGCTGGCACCGCCTGACCGTAGGGCATGATGGAGAGGAAGAGGCAGCCGGCCGCGTCCAGCCGCCCCGTGACGCGCGGCTCCGTCTGGTTCTCTCCGCTGACGCAGCCGGTGAGGTTGTGCGTCTCCGGCGTCACAGCTGCTGTTGGCATCTTGATGTCTGCGCCTCGGCAGCTTATTCTGTCACCAGCATCATCCAGCATCTCTGTCCACCTGTTGAACCAGAAGCGACTCACTCTCTATATAAACACACGCCCACACTTCTCCGCGCAAACTGCTGCGTCCTCAATCCAACACAAGAGCTCCAGCATAAAGAACGTATCCATTACATAGGATGCATGTTTCTACATTCAGTCCGATGTGAGAAGAAAAATGAGACAAACTGATCACATCCGTCTGCAGCTGCTTCTATCTGGACCGAACAGTAAACATGCAAACACTCAGAACTTTCTGTCCGCAGTGACAGCAAAGGCTGTGAAACGTTTCCTGTAACAGAATAACTGTGACCAAAGAAAAAATTGCAGTTTTACAGCATAATCACATTATAACAGAGCTGCAACAATCCCTTCTTTTGTTTTCTATTCTGACAACTGATCAACTGGTTTGAATAAATTTTAAATCGGAAAAAAAGTCAAAATTTTGTGACTCCAGCTTATTAAATTGGAATATTTTCTGTTTTCTTTCCGCCTCTGTGATAATAAAATAACTAGTGGACAGAACAAGACAGCTGTCATCGTGGACTTTGACATTTTTGCACAATTTTCTGGCATTTTAATAAACCAAAGAATTCATTTAATCATCCAGAAAATAATCAGTTGCAGCTCTACATTGTGGGAAATATCGTGGGATTGTTTCTGACGTTTAGGTCGCATGTGTTTGGTCGGTCTCATATCCTTGTTGAAGATAAGACAAGAAAAGCTTCTATTAATCCCACAAAGCAAATGTGCATGATTAAAGCTTCTTCCATGGGCTGAAAAAAACCCTCTAATTGTGGAAAATAACAACATTGCACATATCGATGATAGTGAACAGGTTCTTCCATAAGTAGAAATACTGACATAGCTGTTGCACAGACTCTTGTAGAAAAAATGAGTTTTTAAATGAGCAAAACCTTCCTCATGCAGATTGAATGTTGCACCAGAGTGAATGTGTCAGTTTGACTGATGATTTATGGATCTGCATCATCTATAAAACACAGATGTTGTTTCTTTTGCAGTTATTCTATGAGTTAGAATCTTTGAAATATAAACTTCTCATATGAATTCAAGTCATTTTGATGCATTAATTTCAGCTACAGCGTTGGGCTGCAGTCACCTTTAAGCAAATGGAAAACTGCATTCTATGAGTTGAACTGTTCCTTTAAAGCATCCTAAAGGACTGGATCGGTTTTAACGTGCAACCCATCCATCCATCCATCCATCTTCTATACACCGCTTAATCCTCACTAGGGTCTTGGGGGGCTGGAGTCTATCCCAGCCGACTTAGGGCGAAGGCAGGTTCACCTGGACAGGTCACCAGTCCATCGCAGGGCTACACTTTAAAACAGACAACCAAGCACACTCACATTCACACCTACGGACAATTTAGAATCACCAATTAACCTCAACATGTTTTTGGACTGTGTGGGAGGAAGCCGGAGAACCCGGAGAGAACCCACGCTGCACGGGGAGAACATGCAAACTCCACGCAGAAAGATTCCGGTGCCCCCACCGGGACGCGAACCGGCAACCTTCTTGCTGCGAGGCAACAGTGCTACCAACTGCTCCACCTTGCAGCCCACGTGCAACCCACAGCAGATTAAATAATGCAGACACATGAGGATAATTACTTTTGCGAACTGCAGTCATTTTTTGTGCCCTGTACCTCCAGCTATCAGTATTTCCTTGATCACATACCGAAATAATTATAAAGCAAAATTGCCTTTAATTTATTCATTCTCTCAGCTCCCAGAACACATGGTGGGAGCACAGAAGTCAGTTGTGGTTCATCATTAAATCAGAAATTAATCAGAAATGTGAACTTTAACCACATTCTTACACACCTCTGTCTCTGTGAGCATCAGCTGGGATCAATTAAACTAATAATGATGCTTCTTTGGAGCATATTTCTCACTTACTTGCCTGCATGAAACATGTTAAAGCTTGTGTTCAGCAATGAGAAGTGCACCCCAAACGCATTTATGTAACTAATTATGCACAGTTTGGGAATCCTCAGAACAGATCTTCACCATTTTGGTGCAGAGAGTCACGTCACACGGGTTTATCCTGCAGGATACAGCCTGCAATAGTGCATCTGTGGGGTTCAGTTGAGAAGTTTTGTGACGTCCAGATTGATGATCTAAAAATACACTATTGCATTAATCCCAGATTTCCAGAAAAGTCTAGGTTTTGGGAAAGTCTTGCGAGGCAGGACAGCGATGAATGGACTGAGCTGCTGCCTGGAGGTGCAGACTGTCCTCTGGTGCTCCAGCAGGGTAACTGCAGAGGTCAACGCTGCGCTGAGGCAGGATTCATGCTGCTCGGTGCAATTTTAGCTTTTTAAATAGGAGACATCACGGTTATTGTACTGACCTCTTGGCTGAAGATTTGTTTGCAGTCCACTTGTGCACTATAGTGAATAAATGACTGATTAAATTCACCACTTGGTAATTCTATTTGATCATAACTTCTGCAAAACATCCCAGAGTAGTGCATCACAATGTAAAATGAGAACAAATATTCTGCTGAGGATCATATAAACGTTTTTACAATTCATCCTGCAGGGAAATGAAGAGCAAGTTTAATGGCATGTTTTTAGTTCCCATCTCATCTCATTTTCACTGTTTGTTATATTTATATTGTAAATATTCTAGAAGATCCCCGGTTCGATTCCCGCCCGGTGTTGCATGTTTTCCCTGTGCAGCGTGAGGGCTCCAAACACATGTTGAGGTTGATTGCTGATTCCAAAATTGTCCGTAGGTGTGAATGTGAGTGTGCTTGGTTGTCTGTCTCTGAGTGTAGCCCTGTGATAGACTGGTTACCTGTCCAGGTGAACCTGCCTTCACCCTGAGTCAGCTGGGATAGACTCCAGCCCCCCACGACCCTGGTGAGGGTTAGTGGTGTATAGATGATGGATGGATGGAGTCTACAATACAATATATTATATTATATTATTTTATAGTTGTGACATTTCACTCATAATAAAACTGCAACAGAAAACTGAGAGCAGCTTAAAATCTGATAGATTACAACATATCTGTAATCTGATTACTACACACTTCCTCTAAATAAAAATATGGGAGTAAATTAAAAAAAATAACTTGATGTTAAAAATGAACATTAACATCCGTCTGACTGACTCGACACAAACCCACTGCCGGCCTCGTTAAAAGTTCAGCTCGTTGTGTTTTTCATGTTTTGCAGCTCTGCACTGGACGCTAACGGGTGATATGTCGGAGCTCAAAGGGACAGAAGAAGGGCAGAAAGAGAGACATAAGAGGAGTGAAGGGATCAGGATGGAGGCTGCAGGGGGAGGAGTGATGGCGTAACTCCAGCCTTATTTAGGGTGTGTTTGTCTGCAGGGCTCAGCTGCTGCCTGGGGAATGTCCAGGAATAGATGGAGGTACAAGAGAGGGACGTGGACAGAGACGGAAAGAAAGAAAACTTGTGCAAAAAGAAAGAGACATTAATTTCCTCTTGGTGTTTCCTCATAAAAAGCCAAAGCCATCTCCCTCATTCGCACCTTTTTTTCCTGGTAGACGAGAAGCGCTGCTGGGAAACGTGGAGCCTCAGCTGGCGCTGTCAGTCAGACGCCACACATTCCCCCAGTGAAGGAGGTGACATGATTCGGACGGCACGGAGGCTGAAGTTGCACTAAAGTCCTCTGGGGAGGGAACTGGGTGACGACTGAGAGGGGTGAGGGGAGGTTAAGATGGAAAGAGGAGACGGCGAGGATCAAAACGTGGAAAACAGTAGGAGGGTGGCGGAAAGGGGAGAAAGGTTCAGGAATAAAGAGGAGGGAAAAGGTGTAAAAGTGTAACGGAGAGAGAGAGAGAGACGAGGTTTTATTTCTACAAGACAGAGTCGACTCGTGTTTGCAGCTTCTTGGGCACGTCGATACGTCTGATTTAATATTTACAATAAACACAAAGTACAGCGAAGGTTGGAGGGAATGTCATTAGCAAGGAACGTTCCCACAACATTGGCTAACTTTACCTACGAGTTCCAATTGAAAGGAAACAAACAATCGAACGTTCAAAGAACATTTTAAGGACATTTATCATGTCAAATAATGTTCCTGTGAGGTTCAAAGTGAACCAAGACAGAACGTTTTAACATTCAGAGGATGTTGTCAGAATATGTTCCGTGACAACAAAAGAATGTTCTCAAAACAACATTCAAAAATTGTCATCGAGGCCTCAGAAGACAGAATGTGTTCTCAACAAAACGTTCCTGTAATTGAATACATTAACGAAGGTGGAACATTTTGCCTTGATGATGTTTTGGGGATGTTGCTGTTGAGAACGTTCTTCTGTAAAACGTTCCCATGTTACAAGATAACAAAGGGAGGTTGTTCTCAATGCATCCTTAGGAAAATGTTTTCAGAACCTTTTTAGGGTTTCTTTAGAGAACTTTATCCTGCCTGTAAGAAGAACTTTCAGGGAACTAAAAGAAAACTTCCAGCTGAAAACATTACTGGAAGTTCCTCAGAACGTTTTTAGAACAAAAACATTTCAGGGCAAAAAGCAACCCAGCAAGCAGGAAACATTCCCACAGCATTGGCTAACATTACCTACAAGTTTTAATAATGTTTGAAAGAAAACATTTTGATCTAATATATAAAAAACATTTTTAGGATATTTACCGTCTTAAATAACATTCAAAGTGAACCAAGATAGAACGTTTTAACATTCAGCCGATGTTGTCAGATTATGTTCCGTGATAACAAAAGAAGAACGTTCTCAAAACAACGTTCAAAACTTGTCATCGAGGCCTCAGAAGACAGAAACGTTCCTGTAGTTTCATATAATAACAAAAGTGGAACATTTTGCCTGCAATGTTCGTTTGCATGTACGTTTTGGGGATGTTGCTGTTGAGAATGTTCTTCTAGAAAACCTTCCTACAATGTTAGGCGATAACAAAGGAAGGCAACATTCGGAAAATGTTTTAAAACC